CCCAGCCTCTCCCTCCAGCCCCACTGCTGCCCCTGTGTCCCAACATGCTCCAAACCCTCCCCACACACCACTCCCTTCATCTCCACTGCTGCCTCTGTGGGTCCTGCTACCATTGCTATCCCACTGGGACAATGGCAACAGTACCACCCACTGCCCCTGCCTCCCTGCATCACCCAAGGCAACCACGGTCACACAGTGATGAACTAGACCACGCCCTGCTTTAAACTCTGCATGGCTTCCTGTGCCCTCTAGACTGAGACCCACACACTTGGGCTGCGAACCTGCCCTGCTGGTGCCTGCTCACCTCCCCGCCCCACCTCCTGCCCACTCACTTCTTGGCAGCTCCCTTGGCTTTTCCACTCCTTGAACTTCCCAAGATCATTCCCACCCTAGGCCATTTGCCTGTGCTATTTCCTCTGCCTGGAATACCCTGTCCCCAGTTATCTAAATGGTGGACACCTCGTCAGTCCATTCTCAGCTTAGTGCTGGCTTTCCCCTTCCCCAGTAGCTCCTTATCAGTTCACTGGCCACCAGCACACACTACTGCTTATGTGTGTACAGTCTAATATCCTCCAGAGTGGGAGCTCCATCACAACAGGGGCTGTCTTGTTCCCAGCACCTACAAGAGACCCTGGCACACAGGAGAGCATGAAGGAATCTCCAAGAATCAGCAAGGGTACAGTGGTTAACATGTCCCTCTGGTGGGCCAGGAGATACGCTCCTCATGGTAACCGCTGGGCCCCGCTCTACAGCACTGGAATACTTGAAAGAAGGAAGGAGTGAATGTGGACACCCAGGGGAGAGGGGAGAGAGAAGGAAGTGAGCAGATAAATGAGTGAATTTATTGTACAAGGACACCAATGGATGCTGCCTGGTGGCGATTATCCATGACCCTTCCCTTCTCTAACACCCCCGCACCTTATGCTCCCCGCCCTCTTTCTAGATGGTCTTCTCTTCCTCTGTTCTTTTCCTCTGCTCCCTTATTTTTATTTCTAGCCACCTCTGCTTTGGGTACCTGAAGACAGGACAGATGCCCTACAAGTGGCTTTCACAACCAGTAGCTACCAAGGTCGGTGGCCACAAAACCTAGGTTTCCCCTCCACACACCTCCTGAGGGCCACCAAGTCCCTCAGGAAATGAACAGGCACAATGAAATCTGGGTTCACATAGAAGAGAGAATATTGAGAATATTGCTCAATATTCTAAGCAATCAAGAGCAGCAATGAAGCCCCCACGGTTGTCCTGGCTGTTTCTTTGGGGTCCTCCTCCCTGGTGGGGCAGAAAGAGAGAGACCCTCGCCAGTGCTGTGGATTTTTCTACTGCAGTAGAAAGCAGTTCTGGCATTTTTCCAAAGTGTTTCAGAGACTATTTGTTCTTCCTAAACAAACAATCACCCCTGTAGACATTGTTCATAGAGTATTTATTTTATCATTGATTTCTGAATATACTGTAAATCCTAAATCAGGACAGTTTCCAGGCAATTTAAAGCAACCTCCTCCTAATCAAACACAAAGAATACAAATCCCCCAAAGTACAGAAGTAACTGGCTACACTGTGTAAGAGAATTCTAGAAGACTGAATGTTGTTTCCTTGTTTGAACAGAAGGCAATAAGAGAAGAAAACTACCAGGAGACCTCTAAAAAGTACTGCAGAGCCAAGTACAGGGAGGATTTTCCAGGAGATGCAGAGGAAAGCACAGCTTTGAGATGATTTAACACAATATCTAGAATAAAAATATAAAAAATACTTTTGGTATCCTGGATAGAGGGCACAGCATCTATGCAACAGAAAATCACGATGAATGCACAAAGTAAGATGGAAAAACAAAAGAGGAAGAATGACAGAGAAAGCACAGACAGGACCTGTGCCCCAGGATACTTCAGGGGGCAAATCATGGTTCTGCCACTTACCACCTTTCCTTGCAAAAAGCCCAGCCTCCCAGATTACAGTATTCGTCTCACAGAACTTATATAAGGATTAAATGGAATGTAGTATATATGTATGTATGTGTATGTGTATATACAGGACCATCAGAAAGCTCATAGTGTGCAATTTTAAGCTGCACATGAACTTTCTGGCCACCCTGTACCGGGGACATATACATGCACCTATGGGGACAAACACCTCAGCTGGAAGAGGCTCTCTGTGGCCGACAGCTTCACCTAAATCCTGATCTTTGTGCTCATCCCCACCTTTAAGCTTGCATGCGCTCTTCCTGAACATGTTCCCACCCATTCAATCCTATTCATCCTGCAGCAGCCATCAATAGCACACCTCCTCCAAGCAGCCCAGGGGGGTGTCTCTCCTCTGACCTCCCACTGCTATTAATGCTTTTCACCAAACATAGTAATACTTGAAAACATTCTGCCTTCACTGAGTCCCTGCCCTTTCATATACAAAAGCCTGAAGAGAATATATAATTTCTATGGGTTGTCGTAATGCTGAGACCCTTGGATTCAGAGTGACTTGCTAATGTGGGCTCTCCGGCTATAAAGAACAAACAAGAAGAATCTTCCCTACTTCTAAATGATTGCTCGCTGCTTGGAGAATTACTTGGGCTCCACACTCACCCTCTGCAGAATCACCCTCTCATCACCCTCCTTCAAGGGGAGGTAAAAGACCCAGAAGCCAAAAAGAAAAAAAAGAAGAAACACTGAAGTCCGGACAACAGAAGTGAGTGGTTCCTTAGGATTTACAGTGGTATCGGGAAGGGTGTCTGGGGTTTCTGTTTGTAATCTCAGGGTAAATCTGGCAAGGGGAGACTGGTTACCAGTAATGAAGCTTGCTGGGACCTCGATGATACATTCTGAACACATTCCAGTCTTACCTATATTGTGCTTGAAAGTGGCTTTGCACAAAGCTCTGACCTAGAGAAAGCGGAGTCGATGGTGACACGTGATTCTCAGAGGTTTTACTGGCTTCAGGTGAAAGCTACAAAGAAATGAGGAAAAGAAGTAAAATTAGATACACCTCCTATCACTCAGCTGCTTCCAGACCACAGGCCGTCGCTTCCTCCTGGGTGTCATGGCTTCCTGAGCCTCCAAGGAGTCTCGGCCTTCAAGGCAGCCTTTACCAAAGCTCAGTGCTTTTTCAATTCCTTCACCTCCCAAAGTCCCCAAGAGAAGGAGTGTATGTATGAGAAGGGCGAGCCCAAAGCATAAGCCTTGGTGAATGCACACTCCTACTCGCCAGCCTCAACCATTCCCTGTGGATTGATGGCCTCTGTTCTTTATTTCCATCCTGCCAGGCCTCAAAGCCTCAATGCCTCTTGCACATTTCACTTGAGTGGGCTGCCAGAACCTCAAATGTGTCCACCCCCCCATCTCCATGAGTCCCCTGCCTGCAAAATCATTCCTGGCCACATTTTCCAGTGAGCCAGTTTTCACATAAGTACTGTCTTCTGCAGACAAAGTAGGTTTTACATTTTAGACCTTTAGATGCATAAGCTTTCTTTACTCTATACATCAGTCCTCTTGTGTCCTTGTTTGCATTCCCTTGTGAATTTGTTTCTGGTAGCTACTGTAGCAGATTATGACAATCTAGTGGCTTCCACTGTAACAAGAGATTTATTCTCTTATGGTTCTCAGGAACAGACTTTCAAAATCAGTACAGCTGGGCCAAAATTAAGGCATCAGCAGAGCCACACTCCCTCCAGAGGCTCTACAGGAGTCTACTCCTTGCCTCACCCAACTTCAGGTGGCTGCCAGAATTCCTTGGCTTGTGGCCACGTCACTCCAGCCTTCATTGCTAGCATCTCTCTGCTCTGTCTTCACCCCATCTTCTCCCCTGTGTGTCTCAAGTCTCTCTCAACCTCTCTTTTATAAGAACAATTGGTATTGCATTTAGGACCCACCTGAATAAACCAGGTTAATGACTTCATCTGAAGATCCTTAATTTAATCACATGTGCAAAGTCTTACCAAGTAAGATAATATCTACAAGACACAAGGATTAGGACCTAATATTTTGGGGGGTCATTTTTTAGCATATCCCACCTTGGGCCTCCTACCTGCCCCAATGCCACTACCCTCTTCTGGATGCCTACTATATCCAATATAATTATTATAGCATGCTGGTTTCCCTAAGTTTATTCCTCACCCTCTGCCTACTCCCTACAACACACAGAACACAATTATTTATTAAAACCCAGCTATGTGAAATCACTGTCCTGGAAGAGGTTTTTCCCTGAGGACAATCCCAGAATTAAAGCAGCCATCATATAAAGCTATTCTGTAACATTTAAAATTGCCTATATTAAGTATCTATATAAGATCGTGCATAAAATATACCCTAGAAAAGTATTTCTCAACTTTTCCATAATCACTCCCCTTGAGGAGTCTCTTTAAACAATTTTTCCTAATCACTCCCACCATGAAACTTTAATAGCACAGATAAACTATAGGTGTGTCTATGTACTATATGAAAATATATCCCCACAAAGACCAATTTGGGGGCCTTGGGGCCTCGGGGTCTTGTGTGATATCACCCCCACTGAGAATGCATCCCCTTAGATGGACAAACAGGCTGTGCAGTGTAGGTGGAGACCAATGTTGAAGGACTTCAGAGAGTAGAGGACAGAAGCATAGCAGAGGAACGCACGTGGAGTATCTGAGGTAACGTATACTGATGTGTGCAATTTACTTCAAAGTAAATCAAAAAAATAAGACGAGAAAAAAAAAGGTGGAGTAATGAGTGGATAGAGAGATAGACAGATGGGTAAATGTGTGATAAAGCAATGTAAATTGTAGCATCTAAGTGGTGGGTATGAGTGTTCACTGCAGAATTCGATTTGCCCATATGTTTGAGATTTTTCATAATATAATACTGGAGAAAATAAGTGAGTACTCAGAATGGTCACTCTTATTCATCCCAATAGTTATGATGCCAAATTTAACTAGAATACAAGATGTGCAAAGGGAAACAGAAAATAGGGTTGGAAAGTGAGTCTAATACCACCCAGGTGGGGTGCTCAAAGTCTGGCTCAGTAAACAACAAGTATCAGGGTCAGAAATGTGGACACCAGAGTCACAACACAGGGTTCCAAATCCCCGCACTGCTACATGGCCATGACGGTTACTCAACCTCTCTCATCCAACTAAAGAAATTACTTGATCTGTTTGTTCCGTGGTTCCTCAACTGTAATAGAAATAACGATAGTACCTACCTGATAGGGATGTTCTGAGGATTTAAAGAGTGTGTGGTACAGTGTAACTACTGTGCAAGTGATGCACTGTGTTATTGCTACCCAACAGGAAGGATCTGATGGGTTTGAACCTGGGTGGTAGTGACATGCTTAGAGAGGCAATTTAGCCTGATAGCCATTCCCTGATGAAGGATAAATCTGGAGGTTAGGACACAGATTAGGAGGCTCAAAGGTCCAGGCAGCAGCAGGTGAACTGGGGCAGGAGTCGTGAAAATGAAAAGGAGGGATGGATTCAGGACACCCTGTGCCAGCAGCTCATACCTCAGCACCTGACTGGGGGACAGGGAGAGGAGACAAACAGAACCAACTCCAAGCTTCCAATCTGATACCTGGAGAAAACCAGTTCCATTAGCAGAAAGGGAAAGACAAAAGGAACAGTGGGTTGGGAAGGGCATGCCAAGTCTGAGGGTGACGCAGTATCTAGGCAGAGACAGAGCTAACTTGGGTGCAGAGTGGGCACTGGGATATTTTGGCTGCCTGGGATTCACTCCTCCTCTTTCTCAAGCACAGAACCCAGTCCCTGGGGAGGGAGGCCTGGCTCTTTCAAGGTTCTGTCTGCCCTGACCAAGGGACAGGCCCAGGACCCACTCGAGCCAAACTGAGATGTTCCCGCCCTGAATGTGAATCAGGAACACAGTGGCCCAAAGGCTGAAAACATTTGTTCCCTCAGTGGAGTCCAGGGCAGAGAGCTGAGCAGACCCTGCCACTGAGACACCCGCAGAGCTGCCCGATTCCTGACTGATTCGGGCTGGTCCTTCAGCCTTCCCTTTCTTCCCTGCTCTTCTCTAAGTTCCCTTTTTATTTGGGTCAGCTCAAGTTGGCTACTGTTGCTTGCAACCAAAGAACTCACAATCACCCAGGGTATTGCTGAGCAGCATTGGGGGTAGCTGTGGATGGATTACCCAGGGATGCGATATGGAAAGAGAGAAAATGCTGAACAAGGCTGGAGCGAGGGGCAGCAGGGAGTCATTCAGAATACGTGGATGATGAGGTCGGATGAGGCTGGCTCTACTCTCTGCTAACCAAATGACTCTCAAGACCTCTCCATGAGCCTCATTCTACATGGAAAAGGAGTAAGACTACCACATCAACCTCATGAGGTAGCCTTTAAAATCAAAAGAGATGCCAGGCATAGTGGCTCATACTTGTAATCCTGGCACTCTGGAAGGCTGAGGAGGGTGGATTGCTTGAGCTCAGGAGTTCAAGACCAGCCTGAGCAAGAACAAGACCCTACCCCGTCTCTACTAAAAACAGAAAAACTACCCAGGTATTGCCGCTCGCACCTGTAGTCTCAGCTACTAGGGAGGGTGAGGCAGGAGGATCTCTTGAGCCCAGGAGTTTGATATTGCTGTGAACTATGATGACACCATAGCACTCTACCCAGGGCAGCAGAGTGAGACTCTGTCTCCAAATAAATAAATAAATACATAAATAAATGATCAAAAGAGATGACATGTACATCTTGCCTGGCACATAGTCAGTGCTTAATACATGTTAGCCTCCTGGTCCTCTCCTCAGCCACATCCCCTCCTTAATGCCAAAAGGGTGGCATTTTGTGGAAAACCAACTGCCAAAACGATCGTTTGTGTGTTCATGTTTTTAATAGGGTAGTTAAAAAATGACCCCTTTCACAAAATGAAGAATCTTAAATGAACGATTCATTTAAGACTCGTTAAAATAATAGAAAAGAAATTGTTACTTATGATTCCTATTTCGGTTTCAAACAAATCTAGCTATGTGGCTTTCCTAAGTCTTGGAAACAAAAATAAATTCAAAAAGAAAAATCATTCAGAGTTACGCAGAGGAGAGCAGCTTTTCTTCTCAAAAAGGGAAAATGAAGCTCCATGCCAAATAATCCCAACAGCTCTGTTCTTTGCCTTCAAGGGTGCGCAGCCAGGCCTCGACAGGCAGTCCAATTTTCTGAGAGCAAATTTCAGGAGCGGCTTTGACCCCAGACAGAGAAAAAAAGATCTTTTCTGATTTCAATCAGGTCAAAGTAAGGGCGGTATAAGCTCCTCTCTCTAGCCACAGCCATCTTGCCTAGATGGCCACTTCTAACAATGCATGGCAAGCTAGGGACAGAGAGCAGCCAGTGTGGCCAGGGACAGGGAGCTAGGGGCACACAGGTCTGGAATCAGCTGAGTGTTTGGCAGGCCCAGGCAGGTGGGGTCCCCGTCAGCTACCTAGGAGTCTGGATTTGGTTCTAAATACCAAAGGAAGCCTCTGGAGGAATTCAAGCAGGGCAGAGATGTGATCTTATTTCCTTTCTAAAATATCTGGCTGCAGCATGGAGAATATTATGGGGGGCAGGGGAGGAATATTCAGAATTAGAAAACCAATAACAACTGCTTTTACTTGTGTCTTATAGTTATTAAAAAGAATTATTGGTAGGCCCTTTTTGCTTCAATAAACTCAATGTTTAACGAAAGGTTTGGCGGTGTTGTGCCATTATTGGGAACAAAGGTTCTAAGCAGTGGTTCTCAACTGAGGGATTTTACTCCCTCCCACGGGGGACATCTGGCAATGCCTGGAGACATTTTTGGTTATCACACCTGTGGGGTCCCCTGGTATCTAGTGGATAAAGGGATGCTACTAACGCGAAAATGAACAGCACAGACCTCCCCGATGCAGAATCACCTGGCCACAAATATCAAAAATGTTGGGGTTGAGAAACCCTGTTACAGGCCCTGGCTCTCCCACTCACTAACTGTGTGACTTGGGGCAAATTACCTACTCTCTTCATGATCTTCTCCACCCTTAAGCCTTTTCCTGTTACCCAGAGATGGAAGAGGAAAACTGAAAGGGAATCTGGAAGACTATCTGTACCACCTACTTTCTAGGTAGGAAAAGCTGTATGATATAGCCAGCGAGAGAAGAGGGGAAAACAGAATAGGAGACTTTTCCTATGCAGCTGTCAGGAAGAGATAGCTCCCATTTTCAAGTTTCCTCTCTTCCCACCATGGGGAACTAAGAAGGCAAGAGACACCCAAAAGAAGGAGAGGGACTCAGATCAGTGGCTTTGGCATAAATAGACCCATTGCATTCTATTTCCACCAAGTAGAAGTTGAGTGGCCTTAAGCCACTTACTTAACCCAAATTTCCACCAACTATAAAATATGAGTTGTGCTTGTAATAGTAAAGGATAACTGGCTCGGCGCCTGTGGCTCAAGTGGCTAAGGCGTCAGCCACATACACCTAAGGTGGCGGGTTCAAATCCATCCTGGCCCACCAAAACAACAATGACAGCTGAAACCAAAAAATAGCCAGGCGTTGTGGCGGGCACCTGTGGTCCCAGCTACTAGGGAGGCTGAGGCAGGAGACTCACTTGAGCCCAGGAGTTGGAGGCTGAGGTGAGCTGTGATGCCACAGCACTCTACCCAGGGGTACAGCTTGAGGCTCTGTCTCAAACAAACAAACAAAAAAAAAAAATAGTAAAGCATAACTAATTTAATCAACCATTCAAGAATTTATTGGGCCAGGTATGGTGGCGCAAGTCTATAATTCTAGCACTCTGGGAGGCTGAGGCAGGAGGACTGCTTGAGCTTGGGAGTTTGTGAAACCAGCTTGAGCAAGAGTGAGAACATGTCGCTACTAAAAATAGAAAAAATTAGAGAGGTGTTGCAGCAAGCACCTGCAGTCCCAGCTACCTGGGAAGCTGAGGCAGGTGGATCCCCTGAATTCAGGAATTTGAGGCTGCAATGTGCTAGGCTAAGGCCACAGCACTCTAGCCTAGGGCAAAAGAGTGAGATTCTTGTCTTTACAAAAAAAAAAAAAATGCAGTTTACTGAGTGTCTGTGTCCTTTAGCAAAATAAGTCATGAAAAGCACCAAGTTGGATGTCTGACATACAACATTCAATAAATAGTCTCTTTTTAAAAAATATATCACTCTGATTTCAAAAGGTGTTTACTATAAACTTAAGGGATACACAGTATAACAGACATAAATTTATCTGGTTGGCATTCCATTCTTTGAGAAAGCAACCTATTCCAATTCTATGAACACTCTCTTAGGCCTGTGTTCACCCTTATATGCAGAATACGCCAAACTTCTGTCCACCTGCGCAGGAATGGACATGTGAACCAAGCTGGAATAATCAAACTCTTCCCTGGGCTTTTTCTAGAATCTCAGGCTCTGAAGACTGCATGAGCATTGGTAGAAGCTTTTCCTGCTCCCATGTGGGCAGATGCAGTATGGGAATGAAGCCAGAGATAAGACAAGAGGTAAAGAGTGAGTCAAAGACCTAGGTCCTTGGATCCAGCCCCACCTGAGCCTGGTTCAACCCCTCAGACTTACAAGTTATAAAAGCCAATAAATGTCCTTTCCTTTTTTCCTTAGCCGCTTGAGCCACAGGCGCTATTTAGACTTCTAAATGTCCTTTCCTTAAGTGGGATCAAGTTAAATTTCTATCCCTTGAAACTAAAAGGGTCAGAATAAGATAAACAGAGAATCACTGTGAAGACAAGAAAAACCACCCACAATGTCACAAAGGAAGCATCTCAAACCTCTGAGAGTGGGGTCCTCCCAGGTTTTGTTGTGGTGATTCTTGCTCTGTTTCATTTGTGTGTTTTGCGGTGAGATGAGGTGATTATTTTTAAAATAAGAAGAAAGGCTTTCAAGTCAGATTCTTTGGGCTTGAAGACTGACTCTCTGGCTTCTTATACTGCTTTGAGAAGTTTACTCAACCTCTCTCACACGTGGAACACACACAGTTACGTTCTTCTTTTCTGAAAGTTGCAAGTTACCACTTTAAAAGAAAAAGATCCTGTAATTATACAATAGAAAAATAAATAAAAATTAAAAAATTAATGAGCAAGATAACAGATGGCTATGTGGATACGCTTTAAAAAGAAAAAAGAAAAAAAAAAAAAAAGACTGAGTTTCCTGAGCCATTCATTCATTACTCTAGAATGATGGGTTCCAAGAAAATAATGAAGAAACGAGAAGGTAATGGTTGAAAGACCTAAGCATTTTCCAAGGCATTTTGGTTGATTCATGAGAGGGCTGGGAATATACTGTTCAATTTTTAAACAAAACTATAAAAGCTGGTAAAATAGTTCTTGTGGCTACATCTGGATCAGTTATGAGATATATCAAAGTGTAACAAAGCTCGTGAAACATTTTTTAAATTAGAAGAGTATCCCTAGATATTATTATGACAACTGTGCTCACGTGTGATATAATAACTTCATTCACTTTACTTTCTTGAGGGGGAGATAAAGGGATAGCATTAGACAGAGCACACCCATCATCGATCTTTACTGCGTAGAATACACAAAGAACCCAGCTAAGGGATGTTCACTGTGGCTGTTACAAATCACGGTGGTGCTCTTCTCCTCCCAGAGGGCTGGGGTGTCATCAAAACCTGGGAATGCTGAATGCACACATGTAAAAATCATCCATACTGCATCTTGAGAGAAAAGGTTAGGACATGCTGCTCTGTAGACACATAACTGGGAAAGCAATGATAAAGCTGAAATGGTACCATCTGAAAATAATAAGCTATGGTACTTAGGGCCGCACACGGCCATACTGATACACAGAATATAGATTCCCAAAAAAAATATTTTTCAAATTTTGAACCAAAATGAAACCCTATTCACTATATTGCTGGGATTATGGAGGATGAGGAATACTGCAATGGGAGGCAGTGCCTTGTCTAAAGCAAACAGAGCTGAAAGACGGAAGCAGGCAAGAGCACTGTGTACCCAGGAGCCAGAATATACAGGAATCCGAGACTCTGAATGTCATGATTCAGTTTTGAGGAAAGCTGAGGGAGAAAAGGGAGAAAAGAAACTCTAAATGATGTGCTGTTTCAAGACTGACCAACCTTCTCAGGCACTGGCCCCCGGGACGAGCCCTCCAAGTCCTCATGCACACGATCCAGCAACCAGAGCAGAAATTCCAGGGCGTCGTGTTGGGAATTGCCTTGGAACTGAGAGCCATACTTGGAAACTGCATTCTGAAAGGAAAAAAAGAAACCCAGGGGTCAATTTGGTTCTTTATACAACTGCACTAAGGGCCTATAAGCCTCAGGTCTACCAAGAGGTCATTATTCTGCCCCGCTCTTGGATGACAACATGCAAACAATGTGGGCCAAAACCTGCCCTTTGGAGGCAGTGTCCCAAAATGCTATGAGGGTTCACTGTACAGGAGAGGCACTTTTTTTCCACTGAAGGACTACTGATGTATCTCCTACCCTTAGAAAACCCTCAGGGTTGTCTCTGTTGAATATTCTGATGCGGCTGACCACCTGTCCTATCCTTTGCTGTGTGGGGCAGCATGCTCTGCTGGTCTTCCCTCCATTCGTCTACCTGTCCCCATGCAGTCTCTGCACACTCACCCCACAGGTGAATAGCCTTCTCTCCCTTGTTGATTGCATTCATTTCCTTAGCCTCACCTCTCTCTTCTTTGAGAATGACCACATATGCAGTGAAATTGCTTCCTTAAATATAATACAATGAATGTAGTAACAAATGTAGCTCCTCCAATGCCTCTTTCTAACCTGTGTGAAATTGAAGAACACAAACTTCTCTTTGTGTGGTTAGATCATGAAATGACTGGGCCAGCCCTTCATTCCTTTAATAAATACATATTAAGTGCCAAGAACACCTCAGGCTTCTAGGAACCTGGGGACACAACAGAGGGTGAGCAGGCAAAACTCACTGCTCTGAGGTGCTTACATTCTCTGCACCCTTTGCGCTGTCCTTCTGTGAAACTGTGACAACTTTGTCATTTTCTGTGCAAATGCGTATTCAGCTTTTTAAAAATTTATTTTAATGGGTAATACATGTACATACTAAAAAAATAAATAAATAAAGGAATTCAGAACACAAAAAGAACTGTAATGAAGTCTGGCCTCCATCCCCTCACACCCTCCCCAGAGGGCAGCCAGTCTTAGCAGTTCCTTAAGCATCATTCCAAGAATTTTTACAACACATGTGTCACCACATGAGCATGTGAGTGTTAAGTAAATTGCTTGTCTGTGTGATGTGCCCACAGTACACTAGAGTGGTCGGCCCCACATTTAGACCACAAAGCCAAGCCCCGAGCGTCATCCCAAGTAGGTCTGTTCTCTGCTCACACCTGTCAAGGAGACTATTCTTTGCAAGCCTGAGGACCAAGACAATTCTCAAAACTGCCAATCAAATCAAGACTCTGGGCTTTTTTTTTTTCTTTTAATCTTCCTTTGAGATTTAAAGGAAACTTTAGGAAGAAACAAAGCAAATGCAAGATCTAATTAATTGAAATGCTGGTTCTGGATCTTTATTCCGGTTACATTAGTTTGAATTCTTTCCCTGGGTTTCTCTGCACCTTGACTCCCACATAAGACTGCCATATTTACCAAATAAAAATAAAAGATTTAGGGGAAGGGAGGTGGGTGGGTTGATAGAGCGAGGGTTGGTAGGGGGACCACACCTATGGAGCATATTGCAAGTACAAGTTGGATCTATCAGGTGTAGAACACAAAGGTCTTAATCCTGTAATTGGGTAAATGACAACACAGGTGAAGGCTATGTTGATTAGTAGGATGTAAGCACTCCAATTTGTACAAATAATCAACACACTGAATTCCGTAATGGCATAAATGTATATATGATCTATGTACAAATGACTTAATAAAAAAATAGAAGATGCCTGGTGAAATTTGTATTTTACATAAACAATGAATTTTTTAATAGAAATATGCCCCCATGTAATAGTTGGGATATATTTATACTAAACAGATATTATTTATCTGAAATTAAAAGTCAACTGGGTAGTGTGTATTTTCTCTGGCAACCCTACCTCCCAAGCCCATATCCCTGGACTGACAATTCCTTCTGGGTGAGCAGCCAGCCCCTCCAACTCAAAATCTCTAAAACCAGTTCTTCCTCTTAATATAGGTATCATTTTTCAGAGTCTCCCTCACATCATCTGTCAAGCGGTCTGGACTCTGGCTCCCTAAATGTCTCTGCCCTTCCCTTATAGTAGAGTCTTCATTCCACCATTGAATTCTTGCTACTGCTGACCCAGACAACATCACCTACCTAAGGAGGAGCCCATCACCTAGAATCGCCCCCTGAAAACCCACCGTATTCATGGTAGGCCAGACCATTTTCTCACAGCTCAGCTGGATAATGGGCCCTGAGTCCAAACCCTTCCTCAATCGCCTACCAATCACCTCATAGTTCAAACACCTTTTCTGATCCAGCCCTAATCACGTTTTTCCATGCTACAAAGCTCCAGGTAAACAGGCTACTAGGGTACCCCAAAGACGCTTTCCCACTTTTACAGGAGACCCTTACTCTTGTTCTTCCTTACATATGAAATGCATTTCTCTTTCCAGTTAGTCATGATAATCCTTAGACTGAAAAGCCAAGCTTCTAGCCTTATACCATACAGATTCATTTTCTGCTCACACCTGCCAAAGGGACCATTCTTAGCAAGGCTGAGGACCACAACAATCCTCAAAACTGCCAATCAAATCAAAGGTCTGAACTTTTTTCTTTTTTCATTTTAATCTTCCTGTGAAATTTAAAGGAAACTTGAGGAAGAAGCAAAGCAAAATGCAAGATCTAATTCATTGTAATGCTGGTTCTGGGTCTTTATTCCAATTATGATAGTATAGATTCTTTCCCTAGGTTTCTCCACACTTTGACTCCCATGTAGGGCTGCTAGATATAGCAAATAAAAATAGAAGATGCTTTTAATCTAGTTGTTTGTACCCTCACATCAAACTGAAGTTTAAAAACAAATAGAAGATGCCCAGCAAAATTTGAATTTCACTTTAACAATCAACTTTTTAATAGCAATATGTCCCATGATCGATATTCTTGATCTGAGTCTGGCTATATCATCTGATAACCTTTCCAGAAAGAATTTGACAACTTCAAGAAGATAGACAACATAGGGCCTTGAAAATGTCCCTCTCTACAAACACAATAACTCCACTTTAGGGGAGTTAGTCTAAGGAAATGAGAGATACAAAGAAAGATATCTCACATACCAAAGTTATCTGGGGGAAAACTTATGGCACACTTGTATTAGATGACTTAAAAATTATGACTGAGGAAATATGAATGAGAAAAAAAAAGAATCCTATTGTTAAAAGAATGTAAAAATATTGAAGACCAGACTGAAGACCAGAAAATATATGACCAAATATTAACAAATGTTATCATAGAATGATGGGATCATGGGCAATATCGTTTTCATTTTCCTTTGCACGTTCCTTTTTTTTTTTTTTTTTACAGTGAACATTGTTCTTTATTGGCCTTTTCTAATTATAAAGTATCTGACAGGCATTTTCCAGAATTTTTTTTTTAGAGACAGAGTCTCACTTTGTCACCCTCAGTAGAGTGCTGTGACATCACAGCTCACAGCAACCTCCAGCTCCTGGGCTTAAGGGATTCTCTTGCCTCAGCTTCCCAAGTAGCTGGGACTACAGGTGTCCACCACAACACCCGGCTATTTTTTGGTTGCAGTTCGGCCGGGACCAGGTTTGAACCTGCCACCCTCGGTATATGGGGCCAGCACCCAGAATTTTTTTTAAGTAACTTTACCTGTTGATTCCCATAGATGACTTTCCCATAAAAGTCTATTGAAATGTGACCATAATTGCATTAAAACCAAATACTTAACTTGGGAAGGATGAATGACAATACCCTACATTTCTATTTTGCAGCATGGTGTAGCTCTATCCGTGTGTGTGTGTGTGTGTGTGTGTGTGTGTGT